CTACACCTGTGCTGAGGCTGAAAGGTGACTAGGAAGCCATCAGGGAGGCAAGTGAGGACGTGCACAAATTGTTTAAGGGTCATTGGAGCATAAAGGACAAGATACAAAGGAGATGGACAGTTAGGAGAGAGCCAGAACTTCATGAGGTTTTTAACGCAATACTGAAAAGTTTCAAATTAGTGAAGGTGACAGGGAGCCATTTTGACCAAATGGATAAATTCGGAGTGTTTCACACTCCCCCGACCAGCTGCGTGTAGGGTAGATGGCAGAGAATGGGGAAGGGACAAACTAGAAACTTGAAAGCACCCAGTAGAAAATATGTCCAATTAGCCTGGAGGACTTAGGAGTGTGTGGGCCTGGACTAGGGCAGTGGCTGTGAAGGCAAAGAGCTGAAAATGAAACACAAGAGACATTTGAGAGGTGGAATTTTAAAAAAAAAGTCATAATTATTGACAACCGCCACTAGCAGTGACATATTCCTGTGGATTCAGTCCCTGCTGGGTGACCTTTTTCATGGAAAGAGCAGCAATCCTGCCCGCTGTTCTGTGCCCATTTCTATTTGACAAATTGAACATTAGTGCTTTTCATGCAAACTCTTAAGTAGCTGTGTGTCACCAACCCAGGGGATCAGCCCTGAGATGCTGTGGCATTTATCACTGGTTTTCTGGTTTTAGCATCCAGGAGACCGTTAATTCTGGGCCATGGTGCTGACAGTTCAGGTGAGCTGTTCTGCCAGGTGCTAAAACTGAAAGCAGTGGGGTGTCATCATTAAGAAATTGAGCTTGGTGTCAGCCAGGCCTGGGTCTGAACCCCAGCTTTACCATTTGCTTCAACTTTTGTCTCTGAATCAAGTTTCATTGTTTATAAAAGAGAGATTAGAGTACCTACTACCTAGGGTCGTTACTTGGATTAAATGAGATACCTGTGAAATTCATGCATAAATGGTGGAGTTAAGATTCCATGGAGGATCCAGGGGACACCAGAGTCGACACTCCCTTTCCCCTTCTTGCTCTTTTATATTTAATACATGCATTCTTTTCTCTTTTTTTGATTGAAGTATAGTTGATTTACAATGTTGTGACACTTTTGGGGTTATAGCAAAGTGATTCAGTTATATAAATATACACACATATATATTTTTTTCTCTTTCAGATTCTTTTCCGTTATAGGTTATTACAAGATATTGAATATAGTTCCCTGTGGTATACGGTAGCTCCCTGTTTTTTACCTGTTTTATATGTAGTAGTGTGTATCTGTTAATCCCAAGTTTCTCATTTTACCCTCAACCCTTTCCCCTTTGGTAACCATAAGTTTGTTTTCTTTGTCTGTGAGTCTGTTTTTGTTTTGTAAATCAGTTCATTTATATCATTTTTTAAGATTCCACCTATAAGTGATATCATATGATATTTGTCTTTCTCTGTCTGACTTACTTCACTTAGTATGATAATCTCTAGATCCATCCATGTTGCTGCAAAAAGACATATTTCATTCTTTTTAATGGCCAAGTAATATTCCATTGGGTACATATACCACATCCTCTTTATCTATTCATCTGTCAATGTGCATTGTGGTCACTTCTATGTCTTGGCTATTGTAAATAGTGCTTCTATGACC